CTGTGTAATGACAATAAAGTTGAATCTAATCTAATCGAATCTTTTCTTGCAGAAGAATGACGGTCGCTTCACCGTCATCCAGCTGGTTGGTATCCTGCGTGGCATTGCATCAGGCATGAAGTACCTCTCCGACATGAGCTACGTTCACCGTGACTTAGCCGCTCGCAACATCCTGGTAAACAGCAACCTGGTGTGCAAGGTGTCTGACTTCGGCATGTCTCGAGTGCTAGAGGACGACCCGGAGGCTGCGTACACCACCAGGGTGAGCGTGTTAGTGTGAGCGCTCTGTCTGCCTGTCACCTTATTTGCCAGCTTTTATTAATCAGCCTGGCATTCAATTACAGGGAGGCAAGATCCCCATTCGCTGGACGGCCCCAGAGGCCATAGCGTACAGGAAGTTCACCTCAGCCAGTGACGTGTGGAGCTACGGCGTGGTCATGTGGGAGGTGATGTCGTACGGGGAGCGACCTTACTGGGACATGAGCAACCAAGACGTAAGTCAGAGGAAAAGTGCATAAAAGGTCGTCAGTAACAGGAAGCTTAGGTTAGGTTTTATCATTCAACCCCTTGAACTAAGAACTCTCATAACACCAACAATACGATCTGGTTTCTTTTGTCTGCATATCATAAATGACCTTAAATGAACCTACCTGAAGCTGAGTGTTTCATGCCATCTTCTGTTTGGTAGGTGATCAAGGCTATTGATGAAGGCTACAGGCTGCCTCCGCCCATGGACTGCCCCGTGGCTCTCCACCAGCTCATGCTGGACTGCTGGCAGCGAGAGAGAGCCGACCGGCCCAAGTTCGGGCAGATCGTAAACATGCTGGACAAGCTGATCCGCAACCCCAACACCCTTAAGAGGACAGGGGGGGAGGCCGCTGCCAGGTGAGGGAGCAGTGACGCTAAAACTGAGGCTAAACTTTCACCCAAACATAATGTGGACTCTGACATGCTGGCTCTGTGTGTAGAAGAAAGTAAAGGAAAAGGAAATGATAGCCTGACGTAGTCCGACTCAATTCTAGTCAGAATGAGTCTGATGCTGCTCCATAGAGCTGTGATTATGGGGCGTGTTTCGAACGAACCAGGAAAAAAATGCCTCTCCACTCAACTGGATAGACCTACAACCAATAAGAGCAACGGAGTGCGTGACGTATGTTAAACTTCCTGACCTCAAACGTACGTTTCCTGCTATGTTTACAACATGGGTTTAATATCACGACATTGCGAGTTATTTACTAAATCAGAAGGTCAGATGATCTGTTACCATTTGTAAGTTAGATGAACTTCGTCCACGACGATACCCAGAACGTTGGCTTGAAAACATCGGAGCCTAGCATGTTGTTCAGCAGCCAGGATTCCGGGCTTCCGAAAAGGAGCTGGCAACGACCGCTGGCTATATCCAGCTCACCGTTCACGCCGAGTTGCATCGCCGTTTGGTCACGTGGTTGATTACGTTACTGTTGATCATCTGTCCGTCATCGTATAAAGCCCGCCCTGACAATTTGATTGGCCCGCCAGATATTGGGCGAGCATACTCGCGCTACTATTGAGCAATGCCAGACCGAACTTCCCGACCTCAAACGTTGTGGGCGGGACTAAGTTCAGAATGGCACCCAAGCTATTGAAATGATGCTTTCAAAAGAAAATTGCGACGGACTTTGGTGTTCTTCAACAATCTTTACTTTGATACCACTAAATAAAAAACCTCTAGTCTGAAGCAGTAGCTGTTCCGCCTCGGGTTCCTCCGCTATTGGTCGGTTTTTCTCCTTCTTCAGGCCGATAGTTGTGCTTGCAGCGACAGGTGGAGGGTCCCTACCTCTCCTGGCCACGCTGGTCTGCTAACACACACTGGAGCAGAGCTGCCATCAGTTCCTCCAGATTCCCTTGATGGTGTTATAAGTTACGATGTATTCAAACCGAACATGTTTTTAGCTTCAAAGAGGCGTCCAATGCCTCCACTTGGACTCTTGGAAGCATTTTTGAAACCCTTGATTTGCATCAAATGTTTCAGCTGGTCTCTGTGAAAAATGGCAGATACGATCAAAATAGTTGCTCTGTTGTTTTTTTTTTTTAGTATTTGGGAATAAAGTAGTTTTAAGA